CCAGAACTCCCGCAGGGCATAATTCAGGGGTCCATCCATGATCAAGCCTATTTCAAAATCCTCCAGGAAGCAAGGTAACTCCAACCTGGTCTCAGTGTTTCAGAACAATCCCAGGGTGCTAGGCAGGGGCGGTGTGCAGGCTGATTTAGAGAACACTTGAACCCCGCAGGCAGTGGTCTTAGCCTTAGCTGCACATTGGAACCAGCGCAGAGCTTTAATGAACACTGACTCCTGGGTCCTCTCAGCTTTAGGAGATTCTAATTTATTGGGCTGCGGTTTCCCTAATAATCTAACTCCATCCTCTTTGTCCAGCAGTTCCCAACCTTGGCAGCAAGTCAGAATTATCCAGGGAGCTCTGGAAATTCCTGACACTGAGACTGCACTCCAGATCAGTTTAAAGAAAACCTCTTTGGGTGAGGCCTGGCACTGATAGTTTTTAAAAGTCCCCAGCTGATTGCAGTATTTAACCAAGATTAAGAAATTCTGAAAATCTAGCAAAGCCTGTTTCATCTTAGCATTCTCTTCAGCTCGCTCGCCTCTCAGTGCCTTAACACTGTAGGCCGATGGAGCATACGTGATCAGAAGCTGTGGAATGTCCTAGGCGATGTCTTTTATAGATCTTCATCCAAACCAGGCAAAGATACAGAAATGCCCAGTTTGCAGGAAGGTCTATAAAAGACATAAAGATGATAAGAGACACACCCGTGCCAGTTACTAGCATTTAGTAAGTGTAGTCCCTTGCCACAATAAGAAGGATCATAAAATTTTAAAATAACCCTTCATTTCAGAGTTTGCAAAAAATAGCTAATATTTCTAAATATGCTCCCCAGAAGTTTATCCATCCATTGCTTTTTAAAGCACTGACAAGCTATTTAAGGGAATTCTGGCCACCAGCTTTATAGGGTCCCACCTTGTCAGCAGTGCCTAGGGCTTCATTTTATAGCTACGTTCTACAGAACCCCATAGACCCGTTCCTCATTACCTTCATTAAAGGCTGCGGCTGTCTCTATGGTGTTGTTTTTAATTTGACCATGGGAGTTATTATTCTGTTGAACAACTTGCTAAGAACTGTTTGGAACATAAATAAGTTTACCCTTTCCATACTCAGAGGCGACACATGTGCTTCCCAGCTACAAGCAGAGATGATCATTGAGCAGGAGGCTGTCCAAAGAATTGTTGTTGACAGTTGAGTTGCTGAAGGTTTTGTAGCCAAAGTCAAATCCAACAGCACTGTGTTTATTTGTTTCTTTGCCAATTGCTAGGCCATGTCCCATCAAAGTCTAACAATGCCGTGAGGAGATTGCCAAACCCCTGGCCAACTTTCAGAATGGCTAACCCTTTTCTTGCTACAGAATTCCTGACCCTTAATGACACCCCAACAAGATATGCTTTCTTGGGATTGGCGGTTCACGATAATTAAGGCTGTCTTCTTAAAAAGATGAGTGGTGTTAACCATTGTGGAGAAGAACACAACTTTTTAGTAAACAGATCCCCACCATAAGAAACCTATCTGGAAGGAGTGGTTCTCTGCTCCACGCCCGTCTCTCAGGGCAGCTGCCCCGGTGCCCAGCACCCACCTGCTGTCCCTCACTCAGCACCTCAGTGCCCAGCTTCGAGGCAGGGTTATTTTCGTCAGGTGCAAAGTGACGGCCTCTGTCTGCCCATGCTCGGCTGACCCACTGGTCATCTCAATTCACCCTTCGGCCTCGTCTCCAGGGGGACGGTTCTGACTGCCAAAGTCAGCGCTGCCCATTCATTCCCAGTCCTTCATGCTGTTCCCAGCACTCTCCTCCCTTTCTCCTTGGATGTCCATCCTGGAGAGACCTTTGACGCTTTGATAATGCTTGTGGTTAGCTCAGACTAGGTCCCAATGGGCTTAGAAACCTAACCTAAAGCTGACCGTGGGGCCCCCAGAAAGAACAGGAGGGGAAGAGAAGCTTTATGCCCCCTAGGGGAAAACTCTAAGCAGTCCCTTGGAACCAGCTCCCTGGTCATAGCTTCTCTTCCCTCTCTTCGCCACTCATGAACCGCCCCCCATCCAGATAGCTCCTTCTTACTTGTATACCTATAAGTGCGCTTCTTATTTGTGCTGAGTCCTCAGAGCACTCTTTCTACAATTCGTTCATTTCAACCTTCTCCTAAAATACCTTTGCAAGACTGTCATTAAGTGAGATCTCCACAACCCAGAGTAGCGGAACTAATTTTTCAAATTTCCTAGAGATGAGACCTGAGTGACCCCGTCCATCTCCCCACCCTGTTCCAGTCTGCCCCCTGCCTCTGTTCACCTCTCCCAGCCCAACACCTGGCATCAGCAGGGGAGGTGAGAGACGTGGATGTGTGGTTCTGCTTTTCCAGGGATCACACACCTGGGTCTTTCGCCTCCCCTGCTGGCGCCAAACTGTATTTTCCAGTATCTTCAAACCGCATGTCTAAGGGCTGGGACTTGGGCTCAGGGGTAGAGCACTTCCATAGCCCTAGCCCCACTCCCCCTAAAAACTCTGCATTCCCACGCGAGAGCTGCGCTTGAAAACATCCTCAGATCTCCTTCCCTTTCATCCAAAGAGAAGGTGTGAGGATGGATCCGGCTTCCTGTGGGGACAGAGAGCAGTGATGCACAGAGCTAGCCTGTCACACGGGAGATGCCACCCTGTTAATCCGCATGTTTATGGATGCACACTCGTTCCTAAAATGAGTCAGCTAATAGGAACCATGTATCAGAATTTTCTTCTAACTACCCAGGGTAGCCTTCACTCAAGTATTTCCCTCCGTATCTTAAGATTTCTTATGGACAAAAAATGCTTTTGCCTCTTTATAACTTTGGGAAAACCTTACCGGCTTCTTTTTCGCTTTATAACTAGCTCCTCATTCAATAGGATAGCAGGGCAACTTGATGACACCTTTGGGATTAACCTAGAGGATTCTGATGCAAGCTTTATCTAGGAAATTTGCATGTCAAGAAGGTACAGCATATATATGTATATACACACCATGAGAAAGTGTATACGTGAAGATTATGTACATAATTATGCCATGTCTTCTTAATGCACTGGTATTGTGACATTCTAACAATGATAGTGAATGTTTTTTCTTATCTCTTTACTGTAGGATTAGCACTTAAAAAATGACATACCAAATTGTCTGAAGGTTACTCAAGGTTATTTATAGTTACTGCGTTTATGGCAATTTATGGTTACTGAAAGTAAGTGCGAAATTGTAACTCAACTATCAGATGATTTCAGCATTTTGCCCATGTGCACAAATGTATGAGCTTTTATGGTTTTAAGAAATTTTAGCACAGACAAAATAAAATCCACATGCAAATGTGTCCCAGTTATATTTTCATAGCAAATAGTCAGACATACTATCCTTTTCACCAAATTTTACATTTTTTCTTTTTTATTATTTGGTAAAAGCATTCAAAATCAGTCAGCACAAAAAGAATTCTACAACTTAGGTTTTATAACTTTATGACTGCAACTGAGATACTGTTTGCTGTCATCGCATTCATTCATTGTGGGCCAAGAGAGTGGGAAGTTAGGTTTCTTCGTGTTTAGGTAACGTGTTCTGTGGTTTGGGGTGGAATACACTGTAAGAACTAGAAGTTGCGTTGGAGAACACAGTCCAGATTTAGGACTGGAAAACCCCACAGTGGTCCCGTTTCCACCTGGCCTCGTGGCCAGATTTCACTGCCCTGGGTGAATCCTACTCATTTTTAAATAAACTGCTTATGAGTAGTATAAACTTCCTCCAAACAGTCCTTTCCTTCACTAACTTCAGGATAGTCAGGAAAATCTTCTTGAGCTGATATGATACTCTTATTAATTGCAATCATTATAATAATAGTAAACCATAACTAACCACATCAGAATGGCTTTAACTTTCTGAATCAATTATGGTTAAAGAGGAAATCCATTCATTTTCCTATTGGTAACATAATTCCTCAAAACACTCGTTTATTGGTGGGTTAGTCAGAAGCCAAAGGGCCCTTTAAGAAACAGGCAACCAAATGTGTAAGTAATTAGCATCCGCCTGGCACTGGTGGGCACACGTCCACACCACCCTCTCTAGGCCTCCTTTTCCAATTGACTTTGACACACATATTATAAGATGTGTAACAGTTACACTGCCTGTGTGCTAATAGTGCAGTTAGGGCTTTTTGTGCCTTAAAGTAATTGTTGAGTTGTGTATTTTACATCACTGGACACGGTGCCACTGTTGAAGTTGGTTATTAGCCATAACCACTGACTAAAAACTCCAGTCCTAATATCTGAACATCAAAAGAACAACTAGGTGTTGGGGGGGATGAGGCTTTTAGTTAAAAATCATGAAATCAACATCCCTTCCAGTTCACTTTTATTTCTTCACATTTGTTTCTCTTAAAGCAATATTGACCTTATACGACAGAAAATTTAGATTAAGAAAACATTAGAAAAAAACCTGTTTTTCTGTCTAGGTAGGTAGTTAAACACTCTAATACAGTCTCATTATGACACAGAGGAGAGGGCCACAGATTCCTTTCTGTTCTGTAATGATACACAACTGAGCAAAAATGCAATTTTGAACACAGATTGTCTTTTGCATCATGGAAATGCTATTTCGAAGCAAAATACATTAATAAATAAATTCCCTGCACCTCAAACTAGTACTTGGCAGTTTTGATGAGCTTTACTGAGAACTATAAAAGAGCTGCTGAAGAGTTTTCCTAGGGGGAAAAGTCACAGTGTGAAAAATATCATTTCCATCTTGCATAGGATCATTCTGAGCTCAGGACATGAAATGCAGCTGGCTGGCATTATCAGTTTGAAGTACAGTGTTAGTAGATTTGCCCTTTTCCAAAAAAAACTTTCAGGAACATAGTTTAACAACCTCAATTTAGAAAAACTTGAAAGTGACCCTGCAGTTAGGTTTTTCCATAAATGCAGGAAACTGAGAAAGTATGTCACCTGAAAGTCAATCCTACAACAAACTGTTAGATGCTTTTAAAAAGAAACCATACTTACTGTAGCTATTCTTCATCTCTTGGGTCCCTTTGACTTTGCCTCGCTTGTCGATCCTCAGATACCACTGTGTTCGACAGAAAAGTCTTCTCACTCTTATGTCCCCTCCTTCCATGTAGTCGTAGCTTCGCGTATGTCGCTCGGGGCTGGAGCAGTTCGCATTGGTAGCCATTTGCTCTGGGGCCATATCATTGCAAGCTAAGGCTAGAGTGCCCACCAGACAGACACCGAGAAAGCACGATCTGTAGAGCAAAGTTGGCAGGATCCATGACAGTATCCATTTGTGCATTATAGTGTAGTGCTCCGGGGGTCCATGAAGACCATAATGAAAACTCAGTCTTGAGTTGGCTGCTACTCCTGGGTCATTGACCTTGTCCCATCTGTGAACTGCAGATTGATTGAAGAAAGAGTCCTTGCTCTTTCCAGATGGGCACACTTATCCTTTTAGCTTCTGGTAGCAATACAGGATTCCTCCTTAAATAACTCTGTGTTGATATATCCTTATGAAAAGCAGGTTGTAATGAGCTCGGTTGCTGCGGCACTGTTTGCTACTTGACTTCTGTTTGCAATGAGAGATTAAGAATGGGGAGGGGGAGAGAGGAAGATAAAAAAATGTATGTATAAGTTTCAGTGGGTAAGCAGGATCGTAACAAACACAGCTTATACTTTGAAGATACACTCAAAGCAGATTTCCCAGAGGCTGTCGACCTCTTTACCACTCTATCTGGAGATTTATAAAAGTTTTACATTAGTGTAGAGAAATCAGAACCTGACCACACCATTCACTGTCAGAAACATGCCATACTTAGAGCTGTTGCTTTAAATCAAGTTCTACGTTACTACTCACAAAGTAGAAATGCTTTCCCTAGATTTTTAATGACATGCTTTTACATTTGTGGCTCAGCAATTATTTTCTCCGGAACAGCCCACATTTTTCAAGTTAACTGTCAGAAATATACCAGAAAACTTCAACCTATCTTTATGTACGTTCTACAGCATAATTACTATAGATACTTACATGGCTCACAAGTCTGGTAACTATGTTCCCCCTCAGTACCATTATCAGAGCAAGAGACAACTTTAGAAAACATTCAACACTGCTTTTAAAGACAAATAACAGTAACTTACTTGTTCTGTTTATAACAGCTGGATACACAGGAATTCCATGTCTGTTGTCTGCCTGTGCAACTTGAGCCTCTCTACTGTAGCTACAAACTATTTCTCAGCTGAGAAATTCTCCAGCAGAATCATAATTGTTTCCATAAATCAACAGGCAAGAGGATTTTCTCTCTGTGTGTGAGCGCATGTGTGCTTGTGTGTGTGCGTGCGTGTGTGTGTGTGTGTGTGTGTGTGTGTAGCCTTTTATTCAGGGCTTTTCAATAAATACCTTTGCTGACCTCATTGGAAGCAATTAAAACTTAACCAGTGAGCTGTTAGTTGAATGCAACAGGGAGAATAAAAGGAGGCTTGTGTGATACTCAGTGGTCATGAGAGGGAGCTCTGAGCGTAGCTGACGCTTAAATCCACAAGTGTGTCTCTACTTTGTGGGAACGAATCCTGATTCAGAAGCAGTAAGAAAAGGAAAGGGAATTTTTAGACCTCCTCTACAGCATAGCAGTTGTATGAACTCTGAAAATATCTCCCTAAAAATAGACACATATCTGAATCTATGAGGTTTAGCAGTTAGAAAATCTTTTCCTTAGCTTTATAATGCATGTATTCCTTTCATTACTGTATCCTCTGTCCTCAGAATATCAAAGCACAATTAATATGCATTAATTCATGTGTTGGTGTCCCGAAGTGTTGTATGTCCAAGTTAAGGCCACACGTCTTCACACAGATAATTTGGCATTGAGTGAGGGTAACATTTACATTCTCAGACAGGAAATGAGAAGCCATGGTTTCTTGAGTCTGGCTGCTCACAGCCAGCATGACCTTGGACGAGTCCTGGCTGCTGCTACATTTGTGAAATTAACGTGTCAGTCTAAATTACCTATGGCACTGAAAATCTCAAACTTTTTTGCCCCATGACTTATACTAATGGCTGATGTAAGGAAAAGCACACATCATTTTAAACTTTATTATTCTTTTTTTTTTACACTTCTTTTTTCTTTTTTCTTTTTATCGGTACTGGGGATTGAACTCACGACCGCCTGCTTGCAAGGCAGGTGCTTATGCCGCTGAGCTAAACCCCCAGCCCCCTATTATTCTTAAAAATTAAAAATAAAGAAAATGGTTTACTTTGGTTGTCAGTGCTTTGTTTGTGTCTCAATAAGAATTACAGCACAGTAAGTAGATATTAACTTAAGGGTGAAATGGTAAGACCTGTAGCTAACATAAATCAGATGAGGTTGTTCTATTTTCCGAAATGTTATTCTCTACTTCCTGTACTGCATATATAAGGATATTGAACAGTATAGAAATATTTACCATCGATCTAGGTATTTAGGAATATTATGTATTAAAATCTTCTGGCCCATGTTGTAGAGCCCCTAAACACACACACACACACACACACACACACACACACACACACACACTACACTTAAAATGCACCATTTTGCCACCAGGTGGTGCATCTACACCAATAGAAAAAGGAAATTAAGTCCATTCAGTTGGATTAGAGTGCATGACTCCCCTTTACGTTTGAGGAACTGAGTCGAGGGCACAGAACATTTTCATACACACATTCATTTTTTATGGGTGAAATTCTGAGAGTGCTCGACTTTTAAAGCAGATGAGAGTGGGCTCTTCATAACTGTGAACCCAATGGAATACAAACAAGATGGCTCAAAAGATCCTAGCATTACTCTAGAAGGAGGAAAGCAACTGTAACCCTATCATGCTCTGAGTTACATGCCACTAGTTTTGGAGGCAGGGATAATGCACGGGGCCCAGATTCCTAGGGTATGAAAGCTTTTAGCCATTGGCTCACGATGCACTCATCTGCCCAAGGGTTACTAAAGCCAGCTGTTCCTCACTGACTGGAGGGTTTTGAACAAAGAAATCAACAGATTAGAAGTTAATATCTGTTAATGAAATGCTTAGGGCTTGAATAACAGAAATCAATAGTTTTCTAGAAATGAGTAGCAAGTGCCCCTGAATATCTGCTCCATGGAATTAACTGCAAAGCTGAGAACGAAAAGCACAGCTGTGAGCCGGGCACTTTGGAGGGTATCAGAAGCTGCTCTAGTCAGAGATTTGGAAACAGGGCCCAAGGGGCTTTAGTGACTGCATTGCTCTCGGAGCAGCTATACAGGTAGTTTAGATTCTTTAATAATCAGTTTCTTTATTGAAGAATAATTAATTCCAAAGTGACCTCAGTCTGTCTCACTAGTGCCACAGCTGGAATGGAGAGCCTCACCTCTGTCCTCGTCACACTTTTAGAGGAATTTTCCAACATCCAATAGCTTCAGTTATCTCTAGATGAGGCAACCCCCTTTTTAAAAAAAATTATACATTGACAATCATTTACTGGCCTTATTTTTATACACTTCACTTTCAATTGACTAAACAGAAGTACTTTGAAAAATTACCTTTCTTTTATTGTTTAAAGTTTGAGTTAACTTAATTGGAAACACCTCCAACTTGTGAGTTCAAATATGTAAAATAAAAGATTCTTGCATCTCTTCCTAAAAGTTGGCTTTTCCAAATGTCTTTTGAAAGTAAAAGCACCTGCAATTCTTCAACCAGGAGCAGCACCTGGTATTTGTCCAGTGTGATGTGAGGATATAATACAGGGTTGATTTCAGTGCATACCATGAAAACTGACAGTTAAAGTATTAATTAACCACCTAATTTTGCTTAAGCAATTTCCATTATATCCTTTATTTTATGAAGAGATAAATTATAAGTCATAACCTTGTTAGTGAATTTTGTTTCAATAATTAATTTAAAACTTTGCCTCATGTATAATTATATATAATGTAGCCAATAGGAAGGAGCATCATTAAGCACTTTTATTTCTTTATAGCCTGCTGTGTTTCCATCTCATCCTTTCTTCAAATATAAATAAACACTGTTATTAGTTTCTTGTAAGTATTTACAGTTTCTTTATGCTTACACACATAAATCGAATACATATGCATTTGTAGTTTTTTACTTAACCCCTTTTTATACAAAATGTAGTATGCCAAATGCATTGTTCTGCATGCTACTGTTTTTTGCTAAGTGAAATAGAGCGAACACACAAATTTAAACACCACATGCTTTCTCTCATAAGAGAAGAGCAAAATATAAGTAAAGAACAAAATAAAAGAAATAAAATGTATTTATATACAATGAAGTACTACTCTGCCATAAAGAAGATAAATTTGATTCACTGGGTTTTTTTAGGAAAATGGATGCACCTTAAAGCCAGAGTGTTAAATGAAACAAATCAGACACACAAGGTTAAATACTTTCTTATATGAGGAACTAAAAATACAAATAAATTAAAGAGCAAAATGAAAGATAGACACTAGGAAACAAGAGGACACAACTTTTGCAGAAGGAAAGGGCACCAAGAGATAGAAGGTGGGGAGAAGGGAGGAGCTCAAAAAGGCATAAAAAAATGGGAAGTTTCTTCCATTTTATTTTCCTCCTGCACAGTAACCTGTTGAACCTTCCAATGTATTTCACCCACCCTCACTGGAGAGCATTTAAAATTCTGGTATTTTCTATTAGGAAAAAAAAAACGTCGGTAGCGAGTAAAGTTAGGAGCTTGTACTTTTACAGTACGCGCAAGTGGATCTCTCAGATGAGCTCCCAGAAGTGCGTGGTCTGGCGGTGGTGCTGGGGAGCAGAACATACGAATGCCTATTTGTTCAGCAGTGCGTGGTTGAACTTCGGGGACTTGGCAATCTAAGTAAACATGGAATTTCCCCATAGTCAGCCCTGGCAGGCCCCGTCTTATGAGACAAGGCGGCCACCAGGTAAAGCAAAGGCTCGGAGTACAGTTAGTGTCTGTCACGGGGCAAAACTGCCAGCAGGGGGTGACCCGCAGTGCGCATGTGCGTGAGCCAGGTGAGGCGAGGCCCCTGGGTGTACAAAAACTGTGCTTCCAAACGCGGAATGGCAGTGCCTCCTCCCTGGAAAAAGGAGTGGGGTGGTGATGTGTGAGGTGGCTGGAAGGGCACCCAGGACCTCTGTGGTCATGCTAGGAAGTTCGGACTGACCCCAGGACAGAATTAATTTGCTAAGCAGAAGAGTAAAGTGACCACAACTGCACTGTCTGCCTCTGTCCTAGTCAAAACTTAATTCCTGTTAGCAGAGTCAGTTTACGATATAATAGTAAAGGATATTCATTCATCCCATTGTTTTCCTGTTGCTGAAACTGTCAAAAAGATAGCCAAGTCGCCGGAGCAGCAAGGTGCAAGTGGCGGAGTGCCGTGCACGTGACCTTTCTGACTCAGGTCGGCCTGAATGGATTTCATAAGGTGACGTGAGGTACACTGAAAGTAACACAAGCACAAGGGTACTCTGAGAAGTAGCGTGATTAAAGCGGAGTCCCATGAGTTGGGGTGCATAAAGAAAGAAAGTCAGGAGGTCCCAAATTTGAGGACGCTAGCTCCTACACTGTGGGCAGCACTGCAGAAGCACCGCCGAGAAGGCAAACTGCAGGTGGAGACTGCCTCCGGTCTACACGGCCAGGTCTGGAGCACCTGCAGCCTGCAGACAGCCGAGAACCCAGAGCTGAAGGAACGGTGTGAATAGTCAGTGACCATCCCAGTGGCAGCCATGGTGGACAAATGGCTCCGTGCCCCAAGACCCCAGCCCCGCTTGAAGCAGAAAGGGGAAACTTCAGAATAGCCGAGCTTAAGTTTTCCACCACTCTGGAAGAATTGGAGTCTTAAACTGGGGCCAGGTTGATTTATATATTTGTAAATATAAATGTGACTGCCACTCCTTCCATCAGAAATTGTGGTCCAGGATTTACGTCCACACATTCCTGCAGTTATGTGCGCACTGTGGATTTATCTTCATCTCATCTGCTGTCAGTACTAGTCCATGAATTCAGCCCAACGCCGGTGCATTCCATGCAACCCATCTTCCTTGTTTCTTGATTCATCCGTTTCACAAATATTTATCAGAGAGCTATTTGCTTCCAGATGTTGTGTTTGCCTTTTTGAGATACAATGGTGATTATTCTGGAAGTGATCTCTGCCCTTTCAGAGCACGCATTCCAGAGAGAGCACAAACATAAACGCGGTGACCTGGGGGTGGCAAGGAGTGGGTCAGGAGGGAGAGTGGTAAAGGTCTCGTGTCCGCGAACCAGAAGAGGCCAACATGAGTGAGAGACTTGAGCCATGGGGAGGGACCCAAGATCAATAAGGCTAAGAGGTGGGCAGGGACATGCAAAGGAATCTGAGTCTGTTCTGGCATCACAGGAGTCTGGCATAGATGCGACTCCCCAAACCTGGTGGACCCAGTCAAAGACAGTAGTATAAACTTAGGAGCAAAATCACAAAAGTCATGGAGCAAACCTGCGGTCCTATAAATCCTCAATTATGTAAACGCTGCG